TAAAAAACATTTGGACATATTTTATCAATTACTCTTTTAATCCACTGCTGGATTATGTTTGCTAATTTACCTACACATCTCCACTTATTAACTTATGCATCTCTATTCATAAGAGACATGAATGTACCATTTTCCTCTTTGAACTTTTTATTAACATTCTCATGTCAGTGTCAGGTTTGTTCCACAAATTAACGTGAAAGCTTTTCTAATGTTTTCTGTTTGAGCATTGCTTACACAGAGCATTGGAACGAACTGCCCTTCTGAGCTCTGGTAGCCGCCGCACGACATCCCCTGGGCCTGGTGCCTTTGTGTGGAGGGGAGGGAGAATCTTTGATTGACAACATTCTCCCTTCCCTCCGTTTGTGTTTTCTGTTCTTCTGGAGTCCACTTAGGTAACTTCTGTTTTTGTAGCAAATTATTCATTCAGGTTTTCAATTCTTTTATGTGGAATCGAGCAAACTTGTATCTTGTGGTTATTATAATTTGTGTATTTATGATTCTTTCACCCCTTATTCCTTATTTCGTTTTTTTCCCCTTTAAAAAAATTAGGTTAGCTAACATTTTGTAAATTTTATTTTTTATCCTTTTACTTTCAGTGATCCTGATCTTTTTTATTTATATTGCAATAAACTTACTCACTGTCAGCGAGTAACCCGATGCAGGGCTCGATCTCATGAACCGCGAGATCATGACCTGAGCCGAAGTTGGATGCGTAACCAACTGAGCCACCCAGGCACCCCATTTAAAAAGTGTATTAATTTCTGCTTTTAGCTTTACTAATTTCTTTCTGCTTTCTTTTGTAGTACTTTTTCTTCTAACTTCTTGAGTTGAATGTTTATTCTAATTTATTAATGTAGGGATTTAAAACTGATTTCCTCTGAACATTGCTCTAGAGGGCTATAGCCTATAGGTTCTGATTTCTAGTGTTCTCGTTGTTATATGCTGCAGTTTATTTTGATTTCCCCTTTGACCCACTAGCCGATTAAGAATGAAGTTTTCTTTTTTTTCTCCAAATGATGGGGTCTCTTTGCTTTCTAGTTTTGTTATTAATTTCCAACTTAATTGCATTGTGATTCTGTGTCTCCCTCTCTCTCCACCCCTTCCTCCCTCTCTCTCTCTCTCTCTCTCTAATAAATATTAAAAAAAAAATAAAGGGAGGCAGTTGGCATGATCTTGTGGCGCGGTTTTAGCTGTTCCGGTGCATGGGACAGGTGGCTAGTTGGGCTTAACCTGCGGTAGAGTTTCACTAGCAAGTAATGGAGGGAGTGGACAAGAGAGGCAAGGGGGCTTGGAAACATGTGATGACACTGGTGGTGGGTCAGAGTTCCTGGGGAAGGAGTAGGGAATTGCAGCCGTGAGAAGTGTGATGAGAAGTGTGATGAGAAGTGTGATGAGAAGTGCCCCTGAGCTAGGGGTCCAGAGTTCCTGAAAAGGCAAAGGATTGTTAGAGTGGGTAGACAGGGTGAGTGATTAGAATTCCAGAAGGTGCGAGGCTTGAAGCTGAGATTGACAGGTCTTGCCGAGGACCAGGAGAGGTGGCACAGATGAGGCGGAGGCAAGGGTGGGTGGGACTGAGGAGACTGTGAACGGAGAGTCGGGAATGTCTGAAGCCTTGTTCACGTGGATGGTCATGTCCACAAGGAGGTGACAGTGACCAGGCCCAGAGAGGTGAGGCAAAGAGGAGGGGAGGGACAGCAGCAAGAGGGATGCCGTTTGACGGCACAGTCTTCGAAGAAGCTGGGTCTTCAAAAGGGAAGAAGAGTAGACACTATCTAGAAGTGTCAAGGGGCCAGGCCCTGAGGCACCGGTTGTGAAAAGAAAAACTCTTAGGCAGGTTTCCCCTGAGACAAGAGAGCTGAAGGACCCTTCAGAGAAGAGAGGACATGTTCCAGAAAGTGGAGTGAAATGGTTTGGGAAGATAAGGGCGAACAGATATTGTCTCCTCTGTGCCACATAGTGCGCTGAAGGCGGAGGATGCCCCTGGAAAGGAGCAGACAGGCTCCTGCCAGGTGCTCTGTGCCCCCTTTTGGCATCTTCTGAGCGCAGGGACTGTGGCTCCACGGGCTGTCTCCGCACCAGGGCACTTGTGCTCAGAAGATGCGGCCTTCCCTCCCATTTACTGTGACCAAACACCATTGCTTTTTGCACTGAATCATCAACGTGACCCTTAAGGAGCTGGCTCAGGGGCATTTGGGAAGGAGGGTTGTGCGCGTGCGCGCGTGCATGTGTGTGCATGTGTGCGTGTGTGTGTGTGGTGGGGGGAGCAGTCGGACCCTGTCGCAAGCTGACAAGTCGCCTACTTTCCCCTCCCCCGCGCCCTTGCCCCGCCAGACACGATCCGGAAGATGAAGAACGACTTCCGGAAGATGGAGGACGAGATGGACCGGCTGGCCACCAACATGGCGGTGATCACCGACTTCAGTGCGCGCATCAGCGCCACCCTGCAGGACCGCCACGAGCGCATCACCAAGCTAGCAGGTGGGCCCTGCCCCCGAGCGGGTGCTGGAGCGGCCTACCCCGAGGCTTTGGGGCTGACACCACCTGTCCCCGGCCCCCAGGGGTCCACGCGCTGCTGCGGAAGCTGCAGTTCCTCTTCGAGCTGCCCTCGCGCCTCACCAAGTGCGTGGAGCTGGGCGCCTACGGGCAGGCGGTGCGCTACCAGGGCCGCGCGCGGGCCGTCCTGCAGCAGTACCAGCACCTGCCCTCGTTCCGCGCCATCCAGGATGACTGCCAGGTCATCACGGCTCGCCTGGCTCAGCAGCTGCGGCAGCGCTTCAGGTGTGGCCCCGGGACCCTCTCCCACCCCCAGCGGGGGCCCTGGGCCTGCCAGTTGCGGTCCAGACTCGTCCCCCTCCGCCCTCCCGCCCGAATTCGATCAGCCTGCCCTTGACCGCCGCCTCCCACTTTGCAGGGAGGGCGGCTCCGGCGCCCCCGAGCAGGCAGAGTGCGTGGAGCTGCTGCTGGCCCTGGGCGAGCCGGCGGAGGAGCTGTGTGAGGAGTTCCTGGCGCACGCCCGCGGGCGGCTGGAGGCCGAGCTGCGGAGCCTGGAGGCAGAGCTGGGGCCTTCCCCTCCGGCTCCCGATGTCTTAGAGTTCACGGATCGCGGAGGAAGTGGCTTTGTGGGTGGCCTCTGCCAGGTGGCCTCGGCCTACCAGGAGCTCTTTGCGGCCCAGGGCCCGGCGGGTGCCGAGAAGCTGGCAGCCTTCGCCCGGGAGCTGGGTGGCCGCTACTTTGCGCTAGTGGAGCGGCGGCTGGCGCAGGAGCAGGGTGGCGGTGACAACTCCCTGCTGGTGCGGGCGCTGGACCGCTTCCATCGGCGCCTGCGGGCTCCTGGGGCCCTGCTGGCCGCTGCTGGGCTGGCCGAGGCGGCCACGGAGATCGTGGAGCGAGTGGCCCGCGAGCGCCTGGGCCACCACCTGCAGGGCCTGCGGTCGGCCTTCCTGGGTTGCCTGACCGATGTGCGGCAGGCTTTGGCTGCCCCTCGCCTGGCTGGAAAGGAAGGCCCGGGCCTGGCCGAGTTGCTGGCCAACGTGGCCAGCTCCATCCTGAGCCACATCAAGGCCTCGCTGGCAGCTGTGCACCTCTTCACCGCCAAGGAGGTGTCTTTCTCCAACAAGCCCTACTTCCGGGTATGGCCTACCTTCGGGCTTTTATCTCCCTGCCCCACCCCCCATTCTGGGCATTGTTTCATTCATCCCGTAGATTGGCAGCTGTCGGGGCACACAGTCCTTGCCCCAGGCCCTCTGGGTGTGCTTTGAGGGAGTCACGAGGAAGGCTGGCACTACCCGGGGTGGGGGGTGGGGGGTGGGGGGGAGCCTCCAAGGGCATCTGCCAGCAGGGTCCCCAGTGCTGGCTTTGTCCCCTTTGCACTCCCGCACTCCCCCACCCCCCGGGGGGAGCTGCTCTTGGGGACCAGGATGCAGGACCAAGCTGTCCCTTGGAGAGGGGCTAGGGCACGTTGGGTCCCAGTAGAGGGTCGCTGTTGGCCCCCGCCTGGAAGAGGGGACCTGCTGTGTATCTGCGGCCCTCCTCCTCACAGGGCGAGTTCTGCAGCCAGGGTGTTCGAGAGGGCCTCATCGTGGGCTTCATCCGCTCCATGTGCCAGACGGCTCAGAGCTTCTGTGACAGCCCTGGGGAGAAGGGGGGAGCCACGCCACCTGCTCTGCTCCTGCTGCTCTCCCGCCTCTGCTTGGACTATGAGACAGCCACAATCTCCTACATCCTCACCCTCACCGATGAACAGTTTCTCGTGCAGGTGAACCGCTCACTCATAGCAGGGAAGGGGACGGTGGTACCGGGAGTCCAGGCGGCTGGGCGGTGCCCTCGCGGCCAGACCCGGGCCAGCTGCCCGTGCCCAGCCCGTGCCCCGCTCCTGCTTGGCGGTGGCCCCCGAGCTGCCCACCCCGTACTCACTGCCCCTCTGTCCTCTGCGTCCCTGGCTCAGGACCAGTCTCCGGTGACCCCCGTGAGCACACTGTGCGCAGAGGCCAGGGAGACGGCGCGGCGGTTACTGACCCACTATGTGAAGGTGCAGGGCCTCGTCATATCACAGATGCTGCGTAAGAGTGTAGAGACGCGGGACTGGCTGAGTACCCTGGAGCCCCGGAACGTGCGTGCTGTCATGAAGCGGGTGGTGGAGGACACGACGGCTATCGACGTGCAGGTGCTGGCCCTGGGCTGGCCAGGAGGGGTCCTGATGCAGGCTCGGGGGGTTGGAAGATAGCCGCCCTCAGAGGATCAAGACGGCAGGGCCGAGCAGTGCCTGCGTCTGTGGCCTCGTTCCTCCTCAGCCCTGGGTTGTGGCATCATTGCTCGCATGTCACCTATGAGGGGGCTGAGCTCTAGAGTCACCCAGGGCATCAGGACAGGGTTAGCACTGAAGATTGAGCCTCAGCCCCAAGTCTGATGTCCTACCCTTGCCCCGCTCCACTGTTCTATGAAGAGCGACCGGGTACCAACCAGATGCCAGGTCCCCACTACCCTGTGGTGCTTCTAACAGATGAGTTTGTAATTTATTTTTATTCTTATTTTGTTTAATGCTTATTTATTTTTGAGAGAGACGGAGCATGAGTGGGGGAGGGGCAGACAGAGGGAGGACCAGAAGGGGGCTCCGTGTCAACAGCAGAGAGTCTGATGTGGGGACTGAACCCACAAACTGTGGGACCACGACCTGAACCCCAAGTCAGAAGCTTAATCCGCTGAGCCACCCAGCCTCCCCAGAGTTTGTAATTTAGAGTGTCCTTGGCCCTCACCCTGGGCACCTGGTGGGCTAGAGGGTCCCCTTGCTCTGGCCTCCTTACAGTGAGTGCCTCCTTCCACCACCAGGTGGGTCTTCTGTACGAAGAGGGTGTCCGCAAGGCCCAGAGCAGTGACTCCAGCAAAAGGACCTTCTCCGTGTACAGCAGCTCTCGACAGCAGGGCCGCTACGCCCCCAGCTACACGCCCAGGTCTGGCCGGTCAGGGTAACCCCAGGGGAATGGACAAAGGAGGATGTGGGTGCAGGGTGGGCTCTGACTGCTTGTCTCCCCCCATCCAGTGCCCCAATGGACACCAATCTCTTGAGCAACATCCAGAAGCTGTTCTCTGAACGCATCGACGTGTTCAGCCCTGTGGAGTTCAACAAGGTCTGAAGTCCCCTGTGACCCCACCTTCTAGGGGCCCTTGGGAAGGTTGGCTCAAGCATCTGACTCCAGGAGTCTAGGACTCCTCTGCTCCCCTGCCCCCTGCCACCAGGCTCTATCTCTGGGCTGTTTCTAGGAGTGAATGGTCATCTACAGCCCCGCCATTGCCATATCCCATGGCCCTCTGCCCTGACCTTGGTGCCCCCAGCCTGGGTCTCGATGCTGATCTGGAATGCCTCTTTTATCCTTGTCCTTGTTGCCACAGGAGTTCTGGGTCCTCATCAGGTATTCCTGTCTACATGATAGGCCCTGCCCCAACCCAGCCCACACTCGGGGACCTGGTGTTCTTCTGCCTCTAACTCAGCAAGCCTTCCCGCTCCTGGTGTCAGTGCTGACTCCCATCTCTGCTTGCCTTTTTTTTTTTTTTTTTTTTTTTTTTTTTTGAGCGAGAGTGAATGGGGGGGGGGGCAGAGAGGGGAGAGAGAGAGAATCCCAAGTAAACTCTGCACTGTCAGCACCGAGCCCTATGCGGGGCTCGAACTCACGAACCATGAGATCATGACCTGAGCTGAAACCAAGAGTTGGACACTCAACCGACCAGGCGCTTCTCCCATCTCTGCTTCTGACTGTTGGGTTTTCCCTGTCTGTTCCCCCTCGGATGATGGTGCTAACCTTGTATCCATCCCTCCCTCTCAGATGGGTCCATCACAGCTACTGGCTTCTTACTGTCTCTCTGGCCCCTGCCCAGAACGTGGGTGCCCTCCGGGATCCAGTGCCCCTACCCAACACCTGCTGTCCCAGAGCAGCCTCCTCTCCTTGCCTGCAGGTATCGGTGCTGACCGGCATCATCAAGATCAGCCTGAAGACGCTGCTGGAGTGTGTGCGGCTGCGCACCTTTGGGCGCTTCGGCTTGCAGCAGGTGCAGGTGGACTGTCACTTCCTGCAGCTCTACCTGTGGCGCTTCGTGGCCGACGAGGAGCTTGTGCACCTACTGTTGGATGAAGTGGTGGCCTCAGCCGCCCTGCGCTGCCCGGACCCAGTGCCCATGGAACCCAGTGTCGTCGAGGTCATCTGCGAGCGCGGCTAGGCCGGGCCGCTGCCAGGCACAGGCTCGCCCAGTTGCCCCAACCCGCCCATCTCCTGGTCTCCCGCCCGGGCGGCCCTTCCCCTCCAGCCTCAAAACCTGCCAAATAAAGACGCGCTGCCTCCTCCTCCTCCTCCTTGTCGCTTGCGGGGGCGGGGCTTGCCCGGGGTGGAGTTGTGAGGCTACGGAGGTGGCTTCGGAGGCCCTCGCGTCAGGCCCGCTCCCGAGAGCCGATTGGCTGGATTGCTGGGCCTGGAATGGGCCGGGGGCGGGTCCATTTAAAGACCTCGGCACTCGGGCGCTTGTAGTCCGAGCTCGGGGACCAAGCAGGTGCTTGCGTGAAGCGGGCCGATCCTCTGCGTCACCAAGCTCATCTCCTGGGGGATGGGGTGGACGGTGTTCCTTTGACGGACGCTTGTGTACCCCCGGCCCCGGGTGGAGTGGAGACCATGGCCTATCCTCAGGGCTCCCGGGCTCCGCTGGAATTCGGGGGACCCCTGGGTAATGGGGCAGGCGGGGCTGGGACCAGAGGCTCGGCGGGTACGGGGTGAACTGAGAGATGGGGGCGGGTGCAGGGTCTGAGAATGGAAGGCTTTGAAGGGTATCCCGAGGCAGAGGGGTCCGGTGGGGGGTGGGGGGAGTGTCTGGGGAGACGGCTGCAGAGAGCGGCATCTAAGGAGTGGAGGATTGGACGGAGGATGGGGAGCAGGGGGAGGATCCTTGGGCGAGCGTGGGGGCGGGGACCAAGGTGGAAGTCAGGGCAGGGGCTGAGGGCTGAGGGCTGAGGACGGGATATGGAAGAAGGCAGTGGGAATGCCGAGGGGGCCCTGGAGGCAACAGGGCGCCTGCGGGTGCCGTGGGCGAGTTGCGGAGCGGACCCCCGACGCGACCGCCCCCTTCCCCAGGCGCCGCGGCGCTGATGGTGCTGCTCCCCGCCACCATGTTCCACCTGCTCCTGGTGGCCCGCTCGGGCCCGGCGCGCCTGCTGGGCCCACCCCCCTACCTGCCGGGTCCAGACGTGCTGTGGAGCCCGCGGGTGCTGCTGCTGTGGCTCACCTGGCTCGGCCTTCAGGCGGCTCTCTACCTACTGCCGGCGCGCAAGGTGCGGACTCGGCGGGCGGAGGGAGGGGGCGCCCCCAGAGAGAAGACACACTCCCCCCTTACAGAGTCCCTTTGTGCCTGCAGGTGGCCGAGGGGCTGGAATTGAAGGACAAGAGTCGCCTGCGCTACCCCATTAACGGTGCCTGGGGGATCCTTGCGCCGGACTTGCGCCCGGTGGGGGTGGAGATCCAGGCCCAGTGGCGATTAGCCCCCGACCCCAAGCTCCGATAGATGCCTATTTCATGCCATGTGCCCAGGCCGACGTGGGGGATCTCACTGTCCCTCTGCACGTCCCTTGTTCCTCCACCCCTACCCGCAGCATTTGCTGCTACTCTGTGCACCAGAGCAGTGGTCGGTGTGACCCACTGAAAGCCAAGGGCAAGGTCCCTGACCTCCCTGGGCTTTGGACTGTGTGTGTGTGTGTGTGTTGGGGTGGGGGTGGGGGTGGCATGGAGGGGGAGAGCAGGGGTGTAGGGGCGCAGCCCCCAGGACTCATTGTGGACTGCGGTTCAGGCTTCCAGGCCCTGGTGCTGACGGCCCTGTTGGTGGGCTTGGCAGTGTCCGCGGGGCTGCCTCTGGGGGCGCTCCCGGAAATGCTCGTGCCCTTGGCGTTTGCGGCCACCCTCACCGCCTTCATCTTCAGCTTCCTTCTCTACCTGAAGGCTCTGGGAGTCCCTCCCTCCGCCCTGGCACCTGGGGGGACCTCAGGTGAGAGAGGGCCCGGTAGGGAGCGGGTGGGGGCAGGTGGGGGTGCGTTCGCTTGCGCCTTCATCCCTCGGCTGTTCTCCAGGCAACCCCATCTACGACTTTTTCCTGGGACGGGAGCTCAACCCGCGCATCTGTTCCTTTGACTTCAAATATTTCTGTGAACTGCGGCCTGGCCTCATCGGCTGGGTATGCTGGGCCCGGCTAAGGGGAGGGGTGGGATGGATAAGCTTGCTGAGGCAGGCAGGGCCAATGCTGTGCAGATGTAAACCATTAATCATCCATTCCACAAATATTTGTTGAGTCCACTGTGTGCCCTGGGCACTGCTCTAGGTCCCAGGAGACAAAGGAGAAAAAGTTACAGGAAAGCAAGGAAAAAAAAAAAATCTCTGTCCCCATGGAGCCTACCCTCTATTGGGGAAGGCAGACAAAACAGAAGTAAAAAATATATAGCATGGCTCGGGAGAAAAGGCACGGAGGGAGTTACATGAGCAGGTGCAACTTTCAATAAAGCAGTCAAGTTCAAGATCTATTTTGAGGACAGGACAGGGTGCCTGCCGGTCCAAGCGGTGCCCAACTTAAGACTGGTCACTGGGTGCGGCAACCTGGTCATCACCAGTGGCCTTGATGACATGCCAACTGTGGTTTTCGGTTGTAATCCCCCATGCTGGACTGTGGTCAAGATTTCCCAAAGGGTCTCTCGGGCAAGGTCTCTCTGGCCTCTGAGGCCATTTCCTCATGTGTGAAATGGAATAAAGTCAGAGAGCTTCCTGCTGAGGTTCTTGTGAGGATTAGAAGCGGGGACGTTAATGGCGACACCAAAGCCACCACTACCAGAATGGGGCGCTCAGCACAGGCTGGCTGCCAGCCAGCCGTTACTGAGTGTTTCCTGGGTGCCAGACTCATCGTGCTTCGTGCTGTCCATGTGTCAGGTCCACTGGTCCTCAGCTCCATAAGGTGGGTCCACGATCATTTCCCACATGGGGTGGGGGAAAGGAGGCTTTGAAGAGGGCCAGCAGCTTGCCCAAGTCGCAAAGCTGAGATTCAAAACTAGGTCTGTTTTAAAGATTTTGTGTGTGTGTTTTAATGTTTATTTATTTTTGAGCGAGAGCGAGCGGGGGAGGGGCAGAGAGAGAATCCCAAGCAGGCCCCGCCCTGTCAGCGCAGAGCCTGACGTGGGGCTCGAACTCACAAACTGTGAGATCGTGACCTGAGCCCAAATCAAGAGTCAGACGCTTAACCGACGGAGCCACCCAGGCGCCCCCAAACCACATCTGTTCTAATCCTTGTCTGTTGCTCTCCCAAAGGGAATATTATAGGATGAGGCAAGAGTCAGCCAACAGGCAGGGAGCACTTCCAGAAGCATCTATTGCAGTCTTTCCCCTGGGTACAGGGCCTGGATCCATTCAACAAAGGCCTGAGGACTGAGAGCTGTAAGGGGAAAGGCTGGCTCCTCTCCCATGTAGGTGCTGCCACCTCCGTAGAGACGGGCTGGGGACACACTGCCCTGTTCTCCTTCCCCCACGACCCCAGGTCCTCATCAACCTGGCCCTGCTGATGCAGGAAGCGGAACTTCGGGGGAGTCCCTCCCTGGCCATGTGGCTGGTCAACGGCTTCCAGCTACTCTATGTGGCCGATGCTCTCTGGCATGAGGTAAGGCCCGACTGGGCGGAGAGGCGGGGAGGGCATTTGAGGACCTCGTGGGGACTGAGCCAGTGTGTCTGGGTCCCGTCCCTGCAGGAGGCTGTTCTCACCACCATGGACATCACACACGACGGGTTTGGCTTCATGCTGGCCTTTGGGGACCTAGCCTGGGTACCCTTCACTTACAGCCTGCAGGCCCAATTTTTGCTGCATCACCCGCAGCCCCTGGGGTTGCCCATGGCCTCCGCCATCTGTCTCATCAACGGTCAGTCTGGAAGGGGCTCCTCCCCCTGTCATTCATTCATGTCATGTTTATTCAGCACCTGGTAGGTGCCAAGCCTCAGGCGCTTCTCTAAAGCCGGGGCTTGGGGAGGACTGGGTCCGAGGTCTCCGGGGCTGTGCGGGGAGGGTTAGGGTCAGGTAGAAGGCCATAACCCTCAGCCCTGACCACTTCGTGCTTTCCCTTAGCTCTTGGTTACTACATCTTCCGAAGAGCCAATTCCCAGAAGAACACCTTCCGAAAGAATCCTTCTGACCCCAGAGTGGCTGGTGAGCCGGGTTCCCGGGCTGCCATGAGTGAAGGACATGAGTCAAGGACAGCTGGGCTTCCAGCAGTCCCCCCGCCCCCTCATTCCCTGTCTCTCCCCAGGCCTTGAGACCATCCCCACGGCCACGGGGCGGCAGCTGCTGGTGTCTGGGTGGTGGGGTATGGTCCGCCACCCCAACTACCTCGGGGACCTCATCATGGCTCTGGCGTGGTCCTTGCCCTGCGGTGAGCGGCTCGGGTGGGCACAGGGCGGGCACCACGCGTGCGAGGGGCAGAGATGGTGAACACAGGAGGCCCAGTCTGGGTGTGGAATGCACAGCAGGGGGGGTGCGCCCCGGTGGAGGGAGCCGTCAGGGAGCTGGGGATGGACTGAGTGGCCGGGGCCGACCTCCATCCAACCTAAGCTGTGCCAGCGCCTTGCTGCAGACCTGGACCTTTCACCATAGAGCCCCGGGGTCCCCGTGAGCCAGTGGGTGTGGAAACCTCTGTGAACTGGGGCGGGAGGGGGGGCGCTGCTGAGGGATCACAGCCTCCCCTTCCCCACAGGGGTGTCTCACCTGCTGCCCTACTTCTACTTCCTCTACTTCACGGCGCTCCTGGTGCACCGGGAGGCCCGGGATGAACAGCAGTGCCTACAGAAGTACGGCCTGGCCTGGCAGGAGTACTGCCGGCGCGTGCCTTACCGAATCCTGCCCTACGTCTACTGAAGCAGCTCCACCGACCCCGGGTGGGGGCACGTGCCCACCCGCCCGTCGGCGCACCCAGCACCAGGAGCCTGGACCCCTCCCCTGCTCTGAGCTCCCACAGGCAGGGG